AGTAGCCAGGCTGCCTTCAGTGGGGTTCAGTGGCATTACTGGCATCACTCTGAGCCCTGGCAAGGCCCTCACCTTACCTGCACCAGATTCTCCTTTCCAGTATGCAGGGCTTGTGGATTCACTGCCCTCCCCTCCTGCCCCCTTACCGTCCAAGTGCCCCATGTTGAGGATGAACTCAGAAATGCAAAGCAGCCCGGCACTGTGGTGCACATCTATAATCTGCTCAGGAGGCTGAGGCAGGAGGATCACAAATTCAAGGCCAGCTGCAGCAATTTACTGAGACCTTATCTCTAAATAGAATAAAAAAGGGCTAGGGATATGACTGCCATGGCATGTATGAGGCCCTGGGTTTCATCCCCAGTACTGAAAGGAAGGGAGGAAAGAGGGATGAAGGAAAAGCAGCTCTGCTGCTGACTAGATTTCCTTCCTCTCAGATGACCCTTACACTCAACATGTCCCATTTGGAGCCTATCTTCTGCCTCTTGTGCAGGGCCAGTCCTTGACCTGTGTCACCTTCTGTCTGGTATCCCTCATCTGACTCACCACCAGGTGGTGTTGGTCTGTTTTTTGTAGATACCTCTGGTTTTGTCCACTTTCCTCCTGAGCTCCCCTTCCTCTGTCTAAGCCACTACCATTCCCTCTCATTCTCGTTTCCACATTGCCTTCCCAAGCCACCCAGCTACTTCCCAGCCCTTCACCCTGTGGCTTCCAGAGGGGCCTCCCCACTCTCTCCCTGCTGCTCTGAGAGGGAGGGTGAAGCTGCCTACATGGGCTGCAGGGCCAGGTTCCCTTCCTGGGCCCTCTCTCCTGGCTTTGGCACAGGAGCCTCCCTGGGTCCGTCCCACTTGCTCACTGCCTTTCCTGCCTCCCACCCCCCACCCCCAGGGCTCTGTATACACCGTTCCTTTGGCCCCGCTGCTCTTCCTGCTCCTTTTCCCTGATGAGTTCCTTCTCCTCCTTTGCTTACTCCTCACTGCCTCAGGGCACCTGTGGCCAGACCCATTCATTCTTTCCAGCACAGCCCCCTGGTCTATGTAATTGTGTGTAATCATCTCCTTAAACCAGTGCCACACTCTGAAGCCAGGCCACGAGCCTTCATGATCCAGGTTTGTTGTGGATAAACTAAGTAACTTTAGGCTAGTTGTTTACTAACACTGTGCCTCTATTTCTTCATCTGAAAAACTGGTGATTAAAAATCCCTACCATGAAGGATTATTGAATGCTTGGCACAGGGCAAGCACTCCCATGAGCAGACTGTTAGGAATCATCAGGAGGACTCCTCCCCCACCCAGAGCTCAGTCCTAGATCTTCCCACTGGTCTCCCTTGAGTCTGGGCTCCATATCCAATTTAGAGAGAACTTGGAATTTAGCTACTGGTGTCAGGTGTAGTGGTGCCCGCCTGTAATTCCAGCAACTCAGGAGGCTGAGGTAGGAGGTTCACAAGTTTGAGGCCATCCTCATCAACTTAATGAGACTCTGTCTCAGAAAGTTAAAAGGGCTGGGGATGAAGCTCAGTGGTACAGTGCTGCCCCTGGGTTTGATCTCCATTCCCAAAAAAAGAAAGAGAAAAGAAATCAGATATAGGGACCACCAGGGCCAGGGAAAAAGAGTGAGTTTCCTAGTTCCTCCAAGGTCAAAGGACAAACAGAAGGAGCCTCAGAATGAAGACATTCTGAGGAAAAGTCTGGGCCCCAGAATAAAGACTTTCCAGCAGATCACCTTACCCTGATAGGCCCACCCAGCAGCCAGAGGCCCATGAACATGTTTTCCCTCATTGCCCCTGCCAGGGGACCCTACCTGCTTCTCCTTGGGTATTTTCTGGGGGACTGGGCCAGAGGTCTGCTCCTGAGTAGAGCAAGGGGAGAGGCAATGTGGGCCAAGGGGCTGCTTAGAAGATCAGTTATCTTTTTTTTTCTTTTTTTTTTAAAAATTAATTTTATATATACATGACAGTAGATTATATTTTGAGAGATTATATATATGTAGGATAGAAAGATCAGTTCTCAGTTGCCCTTGAACAAAAGAAAGTTGAGACTGCTGGGCTGTGGATCATGGGCTCTTACTGAGATTTCAGAGGTGATTGCCTTTGAAGTATAGTCTTGTCTCTGAAGTATAGTCTTGTCACAAGGACAGACCCTGTGTGGCAGGAAAATTCCCTGGGCCAAAAGAGTGTGAGGCAAGATCAGCAGTCAGCAGCCCTTTAGGCCAACTTCACCTAGGGGATGGATCACAGGTGTGGCCTGGGCTCCCCAACATGGAGTTGGGCAGCAGAGGGAACAGCAGCTGCCTTTGTCCTCTGGGCACTAGGGCAGCACATACTTACTGAGCCCTCCTGTGCAACTGACCCTGGTGTGAGTGTATGCTTATCCTTTATTGCTCTCAACCAATAGGTAAAGGTGATACACACTATGAAAAAGGCCACGTGATCTGACCTTGCCAAGGATGCCCTAATACACCCTATCTGCTACCCCACATGCTCTCTTTCCCCTTCTCTGGCAGGTTTATTTATTTTGGCTTTATTGTATCCTTGATATCTGATAGTTTAATTCTCCACCTTTGTTGTTCTCATTCATGAAGTCAGTTTGTTAGTTTCCATCAAAAAAAAATCTTGACAATATTTTATTATAGTGGGAGAAAACTCTAAGAATAGTATTTCTAAGTTTCAGCTTTATCATGGGGGATTCATGTTCTGTGAAAAAGAGGTCTTGTGCTTTATTGGAGTAGAATATTAAGGAAAATAAGTGCCAAACAACATTCTGATGAACAGAAACCTGAAAAGCCTCCTCCTCTCCCCACCCATCCTCCAGGCTCAAAGTAGGATTGGGTGGCATCAGATGGGGCCTGGAAGTGCCTGATAGTGAGCTCTCTGGTGGCTACCTCCTGGCACCTAGGCAGTAGTGTAGGCTTAGGAACTGGAGGAAGTGGAGACCACACTGGAATGGCACAGTTACTCAGAAGCTTGGCTGGGAAAGAGAGAAGCTGAAGAAGGGCAGGGAGGAGAGATGCAGGTGTGAGGCGAGTGGGCTTTTTAAAGGCTGTCTATAATTTGCTAGGAAGAACCCCACCTGGGCTGGCAACCTCCATTAGAGACTCATAAAGTAGGTGATATCTTTCTGTTCAAAGGAATCTAATATTGACACATTTCAAGGCACATGCCTGCTGAGCTGATATATGGGTCCCCTTGGGACTAAGCGGAGGCCCTGCTGTGCTGCTGATCCAGCACCTCACCCACATGTTTTCTAGACCCACTGTCTCTGCTTTTAGAAATTGGGTTCCTAGGAAAAGTTTAAAAAAAAAAAAATTACAGGCAGGAACGGATACACAGCAGGCTGGGCTCCTCACTGTGGCCTTGAGTCTGGGTGGGTTGTCCATCAGAAAGAGGCTGGATGAAGAATGGTTTGAGCTGTGTGAGTTTCTCAGCAGCCAGTGGAAACTTCCAGGAATGCTGCTCAGGCCAGCCGGGGGCTGTTTCCGTTGCCACTTTTACGAGATGCAGACTCTTTTTCCCCCTTTCCCTGGCTGGCCGGCCAGCAATGGGGACGTGATGGTCTCAACTCTGCCTCTCAGGGTGCATTGCAGTTCATGTTCCACAGGCAGTGATGTTTTCTAGCCTCTATACCGTGACCCAGAGGTCAGAACCCTCACAACCTTGGGGCCAGCTCATTTAAAGAGCCAGTTGGAGCACCCTGCGTGGCAGCAGACATCCTGAGGGATGCTGTGAGGATTTATAGCAGTCTTGAAGGAGAAATTCTCTCCCAAAATGTTTTAATGTTTTATTAAATGTATGAAAGGAAAGTTCACTTTCCACTGGACCAAGGCCCAGAACCTTCATGGTGCCCCTGGGATATGGACAAAACCTCTTGGGAGCGTCCTCAAGTGAAATTATTTGCCCTTTTTGTGGCCTGTGGGCTACACAGTACAGGAAGCAAGCCTGCGGTGTTCACAGTGACCTCTGCCACACTGGGCTCATCCAGTGGCCACTGTAGGCCTGCTGTGTAGTAGGCATCAGCAACCCTCAGTGAGGGAAGTAAAATGAGCCGAGCCATTGTACCAGCCTGGACCAACCCGGGCGAGGGTGGCATGTGACTGATGGACAGGCCCATGATAGGTCAACCCCTCAGTGGCAGGTACACAGGGGGCTCTTCTGTTGACACTGCTCAAAGCTAGAGGAGGTGAACAGGTCTTCATGGTCTGTCTGGGAGCCGTGTCTATAAGATTGGTGCTGACCCATGGAACACGTGCAGCCTCAGGTGGCTAGGTCCATGGGCAGCTATCATGCTGGGTACAGGAGTGAGACCAGGGGAGCAAGGACTTAGCCTCAGGAAGGTAGTATGATGGCAAGCATGGGCACAGTGGCCAACATGGGTCAAGCTGCATGAGTGTCGAACACTGTGCTGAGTTCCCTGTCCTGTGAGCTCAGCATTGTGCTCTCCACTTACAGAGGAGAAAAGAAATGGCTCAGAGATGGAGCTCTCTGATCACTCTGGGCCTAACCTACAGACAATACATTCCTACAGGTTTCTTCATTGGACTCACACAGAGGTGCTCCTGGGCTTAGGGAATTGATTTCCCAGCTTCTGTCCCCTGCCAGCCTGGGAGTACCCTCAGGTATAGAGGAAAAGGGCCTGCATCAGGACAGAAGTCAGGTGGAGTGCCTTCATTTGTGGGTGCAGTTCCTCATTTCTGGAATGGAAATGGTTGATGGTCTCTAATGGCATATGGACAAATCCTGTCCAGAGAAGGAAGCCGTCTAATGCCAGGCCACCAGAACTGGGGATTCCTGACCCCTTAGTTGTCTTTTGGCATAGCCCAAGGCTGTGAGACCTGCCATTTGCTTCCCCTCACTGCATTCTCATCAAGGACCAACCATCCAGAGACAGAAGCAGTGCACATAAAGGCATCTGCCACCAGAGACGAGGGGCAAGGAAGAACTCCACTCGTTCTGGCATCAGGCTGGTGGCCCCTGAATCCCCTGAGTCTGTCCACTATTTATTTTGCAGACAGTGTCCATCCTGGAGCAGCGGTTGACATTGACAGAAGACAAGCTGAAGCAGTGTCTGGAGAACCAGCAGCTAATCATGCAGAGAGCAACACCATGATCAGGGGAGCAAGAATCAGGAGCTTGGTCGATTTGGGGGGTGGCAGGCCAGGGGTTTGTACTGCAGGACTTGGGTAATAAATAAAGGGATTCAGCTCTGTGGGAATTACGTCCTTACCAAGCCCAGGAATTGTGCAGTTCTGCCTTCTACCTTGCTATCTGCATCAGGAGGCTCTTCTGGCAGTGGGAGGCCCCAAGTGGGTGGGGCCCACAAGAAAATGCTTGAGTCTCACTGGCAGGACCACATTTAGTTTAACCTGAAGGAACCACTTGATACTTCTGGTGTCTCTGAGTCTTAAGATTGTGGGCTGTCCCTCTGGAGAACCTTGCTTTTCACTCCATTACTTTCAGCCATGTGACTGGCTTTTCCCATTCCATCCATGACTTAGAATTTGACTGCTCAGCCAGACACTGTAACCCAGGCAGAAGGATTGCAAGTTCAAGGCCAGCCTGGGCAACTTAGCGAGACCCTGTCTAAAAATATAAAATGGGCTGGGGATGTGGTAAAGTGCCACTGGGTTCAAGTTCTAGTACCAAAAAGAAAAGACTGCTCATTGGTTGGATGAACCAGGCCCAAAGCAGGCCCATCTGAGTCAAGTCTATTTAGGAACAAACTCTGTGGAATGGGGGTATTGGCTTTGCAATGACATTGATTTCTGTTCCACATATGCTCACTTGGGCCTGGTGGCTTCCTCCTCTCTCTGCTCATGACAACAAAGGAATCTGGAAATTAAAACTGACTTTATTGACTTGCTGAGGAATGGCTTGTTCTGGGTGAGACCTAGTTGGTCCTCCCATCCCCAGGGCCTATAATGGGGGAATGAAAATGGCAAAATGGGATGCCCCTGTCCTTTGAGTATTGCCTTTCAGGCCCATAACACCCTTCTTTGCAGTACTGATGGAACAAGGACTACCAGAACCCCCTACATGCCTCCTACCTCCCCCTGGCTGGCCCCCACTGGCTTCTGTTGGGACTGGAGGGCTCAGGTACCCACCTTTCCATTTGTTCAGTAGGGTTTCCTTAGGCTCCTTCCTCTGCATCTGAGCTGGGAAGGCCAGGGCAAGTGCCTTCCCTATTACTACATGTCATTCATGCCTTCAGCCTTTTGTGTCTTGGGGCTCAGCCAGCCAGGGAGGTCTTCATCCTCACACACCTGCCCTTCCTGGGCAGAGTGGGATGCAGTGTTAGATATTCCCAGAAGCTGGCAGAACCACGAGGTTAATGGGGTCCCAGCCTGAATGCCTAAAAACTTCTACTGACAAGGGGAACAGGCTGTGTTGACTTCTGATAAACAAGAATATGGCAGCTGCCTGCAACCTGCACTGGGTGAGGAGAGAGCAGGTCTCATGCTCACTTATCCCCAGCTGTGTGACCTCAACATTGTATTCTAACTTCTCTGAGCTTCAGGCTTTTAATGTCTGAAGTGGTGATGACACCCAGTCCTCCGGATGGTTGGTTACAAGGTATGTGCTGTACTTTACCCAGTGTAGAACAGGTGACCAAGGGAAGCCCATCGCTCCCCACCCCCACCAGTCCCGCTAGGATAACAAGGGCTGCCAGCTCTGAAATTGTGAGGCCTCTAGGGATCTGCCGATGTGTGAAAGAGCCTAAACTTACCTGAACTGGCAGGTGAGACTCTAAGCTGCCTTGGGGGAGGCAGTGAACTCTCCATTCCTGGAGACCTAAGGACAGCCTGGGTGACATGGGTCAACCTGCCCAGAGGGACCCAGCTTGTGGAACAAGTCTTTTCATCTTCCGTGCTCACTTTCCTGCCACTGACCCACCTTGGGGTACCTCTTGTGGCATCCAGACCTGGGCTTGGAGCTACCAGCTATTAGGACTCTGAAGTTTGAGCAGCCAGCCCAGAGCAAGGTCACCTCTAAAGACAGGAGTCCATGGCTGGGGCAGTAGGACATGAGCAGGTCTCCTAAGACATTGTGTGGTAGTTCTCGCTCAGAGGCCAGACTGGTGTTGCCATTTTCTGTCTTCATTTCACACCAGGATCAAGTTTGGAATCCTACAGAAGAAAATGTAACTTAAGGAGATGGTCTAGGGGTAGTGGTGTGATATTTGCCTTGGTTACTTATTACCCATGGAAGCTCCAGTTATCAGATGTAAACAGGAGGGCACACCAAACACACACCATTTTTCTTGTAAGATGTTATTGACATGACCTAGGGCAGCCCTGGGACATCTTAGAATGCTGTGTTGTCTTGAATATAACAGAGACCTGCCAGGAGCCATGATCCACGCCTATAATCCTATCAACTCTGGAGACTGAGGCAGGAGGAAGAAAAGTTTGAGGCTAGCCTGGGCAACTCAGCAAGACCCTATCTCAAAAGAATTAAAAGGGCTGGGGATGTTACTCGGTGGTAAAGCACCCTGGGTTCAATCTTTAATACAAAAAAAAAAAAAGGACCTACCTCCTTCATGCTGTAGAGGGGCTAAGACTCTTGTTTAGGGTGAAGTTCTTCTCCTGAGAGTTTCTTTTCTTGCTCATGTGAGGCCTGACTCAAACTCAATGCTCTAAGTGAGAATCTGGGATCCCAGGTTATACTGGGGCTAGGGAGACCCCTTATGGAGCCCTGACTACTGACACACTCCAAGCGCTGCCCAGTGGATCCCCTGGGGCTGGAACTGTTACAGACTCCTCCCCACCCCCTCACTGCCAAGCATGAAAGCAGCCCTTCCAGAGATCCAGATGCCTCGCCTCAGCCTTCATCTGTCCTAATGTTGGAGTTCGGTAACTGACCTCCCAGAAATTATGGTTCTCTCCCTCTCACCTCCCCTCTCCTTCCTGTTTCCTCTCCATGCCTTTCCCCTGCCTCCCTCTTTCTCCTTTTCTCTCTCTGTCCTTCTCTTTCCTCTTAACCCCCATCCCCACTGCTCTGTCCCCTCCCTGTCCTCCCTCTGTTAGGAGGAGTTTGTTAGCCAGTGCATCTCAGTAGCAATTCTCAATTGTCCCCCCTTCATATCTTAATCTTCCCATGTGAAAGAAAAGAATAGGTGTCTAGGGTTTACATTGTCATCCCTTACCAACCCTTTGCCCGATTCTTGGGTTCCAGGGATGAACCTGCATTTCCCACTGAGGATAGCAGACTACCAGATAGGCCTGGAAAAGCAAGTCAGGCCACCCCCAGAAAGAAGCTGCTGAGCCCACCCCACACCATGACAAGCCCTTCTGCCCCTCATCCCTGAGTCATCATGCCCAGGAGCACCTAACAGACTGTCCAAAGGTCCCCACAGACCTGTGACTACTTTTCCAGAGTCTCAGGTGGCACAAGCTGGTCTACCCTGGGAACACTGCTAACTGCCCCCCCCCAACCCAACTGTCCTGGGCCCTCTGTCCAGTGATGTGCTTGCCATAGCTTCAAGATTTCTCTGTGGGTAAGAGTGGGTTTGTGACTCTTGACCCATTGCCCAGAGCCCATCTCTGCCTCCCACTGGCTCCATGGCCTTGGAGGAGGTCCCTAAGGGTCCTGGACCTTTGTAAGATAATACCTGTCTCATTGGACACTCAGAGTGAGTATGGTCAGTGTGTGACTCTTACCCCACAACCAGGGCTCCATAAGTCAATGGTACAGGGGACTCAAGGTCCCAGAGTTGTCGTGGCTCAAATTGTACGTGGCTAGCATTGTCTCCTGATCCTGTGGCCCTGCTGTGGGTGTCCCCAGTGGTAGGAAGGAAGTTGGGCCCTCCCCTCTCTGCCCCCCCCCCCACCCCGAAGGTAAGTACTCCCGAAACCACTTCTGCTATCACTAAGGCCACCACTAGGACCAGCACAGGCTTGGGGGTGGATATTTGTGATTGCTTGGAATTCCGGAAACCCAGCCCGCTGAGCAAGCGAGAGCACGGTGAGTCACACTGGCTCTGCAGTCCCAGGTCTTGGCTCCCTGTCATTAACCTTGTCTTCCTGAATGACTTGCTAGAGATGGACCCCTGTTAGCTCCAGCCTTAATTGGTGTGTGGCCATTTAAGGGGGACCAGAAGCTGCCTTGGTTTCTCTCCTCAGGTATCCCCATTCTTCTGCCTCGTCCACACCCCCTTCCCCAGGGTGCTAAGAAGGGAACCCCACTGGCTAAGGTATCAGCGGCAGCCCTGGTGCACTTCCTGTGAGCACTGCCGCCCTGGCATGGGGCCTGTCCTAGTGTCTGGTAGGCTCCAGCCCACCCCAGCCAGGCTGCCCTGCCACCACAAGCTCACTCTCTTGGCCACTTTGGGAGAGAGTTCCTGTCTCCCTGACCCACGAAGGCCCAGAATGTGGGTCCCTCACGACTGTACTAAGATGAGCCAGCCCAAAGTGCCTGCAGCAAAGCCATTAGGAAGTGCTCTGCGCCAGCCCCTCCTGCCAGGAGCTGCAAGTGGAAACACTCTCCCAAGAACCTATTTATAGAGCACAGCCAGGGAGGGGTTTTGCTTTAGGTTAGGCCACCTAGAGCCCGGCTGCCTGGAAGGCTGCTGGTTGCAGCAACCCCCGCCCCTGCCCACTCTGTCCTACCACCCATGAGAAATTGGGCGTGGGGAAGAGGAACCTCAGCAGAAGAGGAAGTGATGTCCTCCTACCGCTTCCCATTCTCAGCCCTCTGCTTCTCTTTTAGACACAAGCACATGTTCCTGAAAGGAGGACTTTGTCATGTTTTGTGGGCCCTCCATGGGTAGAGGCCTGGCCTGCAGGAGCCAGGGCAATGTCACTCAGTCATACACAGTGATACCACCCCTGTCCATCTTCATCCTTCCTGGCTGTGCATCTGGATTCAGTGTTGGAGTCAAGACTCCCGTGAGATCCCTGAGTACCTGGAGCCCACAATTACCCAGCCATGTTCCCTTGGCCTCATTCAGGTCTGGGCCCTCCAGATGCCCTACTCAATTGGCCTCTTGCAGACTTCTGCTCTCCCCTGCTGGACTTAGCCTGGGACCTTGCTTTGACCTCATAGGTTTTTCTGGAACCACCCGGCTCCCTCAGAAGCACCTGTGGTGTGTACCCACCTCTTCACTGAGCTCCTCAAATTGTGAACCCAAACCGGAGCCACCCCAACCCTCAGGCCCAAGGTTGGGATGGGTGCTGGTTCTGAGCCTAGGCCCCAGAATCTTCTCATGACAACTGCTCCTAAATGTGTTCCTCAGAAGCCTCTGGAACTTGGAGCGGGACAAGCAATGTAATTAGCCTTCCTTGCCCCTCCAGGCAGTGGCACAACTGGGCCTGCTAACTGGAAACAGAAGGTCCTTTCTGTGGCACAGGCCCAGGCTGGCCTATGTCAGGGCTGCCATGGGACTCCTTGAACAGAGCTGTGAAGCTGACCTCTGCTTCTAAACTTACTCCTGGTCCTTGGACTGGGTCCAGCTCCCCAGGAATAGGGCCACAGCCTCACAGGAATGCTCATGGCCCTTTGAAAGTCTCCTGTTGGGGACAAATGGTTTGCGAGAGCCTCAGTTCCATAGACCACTCTGGTGGGGGATGGGAGCCTCAGGCTGGGGGTCTCTCCAGCCTTCCAAAGCATGAGCCTGCCCACCTCTCAGGCACCCTGGAGTGAGCCCTTCAAGGAGCCAGGACCTACTGGGACAATGCCTGCTCACTCCCCACCTGGTCTCCAAATTTTGCCCTTGGCCCACCCATTGTTCTCAACACATCGGCCAGCATCTACCAAAATACAAGCCCCCCAAATAATAAGTAGTTAAAAGGAAACTTGTAAGATAGCTTATGCCAGCCCTGCTCAACCCCCTTGAATGGTTCCTCAGCTCCAAGGACAC